ACTTGGTCTGGTTGCTGTCGGTGAAGTAGACGAGGTGGCATGGTGTTCAGCAGCATCGAAACCACTGTTAAGTCGGTCTTCGTCGGAAGTGGACTGTGTCGAGTCATGATGGCGATCCATACTTGCTGCGCGGCGCATCTGGTTCGCATGTCGTCTCCATAACTGGCCGTCTTCAGTAAGCACGCCATATAGCGCTTCTCCACAGCGTTTCTTCACTCGTGCTGGAATCCATTTTTCACATCCAGAGCGAAAATCACGTACCCACACGGCTTCTTGTGGCTGGTACGCTCTCTTTCGTGCTACATGGTGGCGGTTAAACTGCTTCTCCATGTTTTCATTGCCCATTCCTTCTTCTTTGGAGTCTTCATTCAGCAGCGTAATCAGAGGATGTTCCCTCAAGCTACAGCTGGACACAGGTGCGGATATAACCCTGATTTCGCGAAGAGCCTGGAAGAGGATGGGATCCCCTGCTCTGGAACCCTGTGTGTTGCCCGTGAAAACTGCCGACGGGACGCCGATGCAGATCGACGGTAAATTTTCGACCGATTTTGAGGTCAAAGATCGAGTTACAGGGAAAACCGTTCATGGAAACGGAATTTGCTACGTCACCGAAGGCTCGAATCTATTGGGATTGGAATGGTGTATCCAATTGCCGGCGTACATGCCGAGGGTTCACTAGGATTAGCTCGAGAACAACACATACAAATATATCAAAGTGCGGCGGGTACGCCGCAACCACAGAGACCATATCGACCTAGCCTATAGTGAGCGAGCAAGTTCCAATATAAGGGACGGCTCTACATCGGGGATTGTTGTGGATTGTTGTGGAACGCGTTGAGTCGTTGACGATTTATTAGAAAAACACAAGAGTTCCCCCTCTGCCTATCGGCGTACATGCCGAGGGTTCACTAGAAATAGCCCAGGAACAACACACAAAATATATCAAAGTGCGGCGGGTACGCCGCAACCACAGAGACCATATCGACCTAGCCTATAGTGAGCGAGCAAGTTCCAACATAAGGGACGGCTCTACAACACCTCCCTCCTAAGATGAACAACGGTACATCTTATAATAAGGATCTACTTGTAGACGTTCTGGTGGGCGACGATGACGACTTGGTCTGGTTGCTGTCGGTGAAGTAGACGAGGTGGCATGGTGTTCAGCAGCATCGAAACCACTGTTAAGTCGGTCTTCGTCGGAAGTGGACTGTGTCGAGTCATGATGGCGATCCATACTTGCTGCGCGGCGCATCTGGTTCGCATGACGTCTCCTAACTGACCGTCTTCCGTAAGCACGGCATATAGCGCTTCTCCACAGCGTTTCTTCACTCGTGCTGGAATCCATTTTTCACATCCAGAGCGAAAATCACGTACCCACACGGCTTCTTGTGGCTGGTACGATTTCTTTCGTGCTCCGTGACGGCGGTTGAACTGCTTCTCCAGAGCTTCATTGCCCATTCCTTCTTTCTTCGTTCAGCAGCAACAGTGGTGTCCTTATCTGACGTCCCAAGAGCAGCTCGGCAGGCGAACGTTGTCTTGGAGCAGTTGTACAAGGCGTCCGTCGATAAGACTGTAGAAACTCCGCAAGCTTCTCTGCCGTTCCTCCCTCCTTAATTCTCTGAAAGGTCCTTTTGAAGATATCCACGAACCTCTCCGTTTGTCCATTTGATTGCGGATGGAATGGTGGTAAACGCATATGCTTGATTCCTCTCTCTTCACAGAAGTCTTGAAACTCCCTTGCTGTGAACTGAGTCCGATTATCCGACACGATCACTTGTGGATTTCCAAATCGAGCGAATAGAGATCTGAGTTCTCTCAGGGTAGCTGTAGTTGACGATGAAGGCATCTCAAATACTTCTGGCCATTTCGTGTAAGCGTCAACTACGACGAGATACATCTTGCCATTCAGCGGCCCTGCGTAGTCAATGTGAAGTCGATTCCATGGTTTGTCTTCTACTTTCCATGAATGCAGCACAGTCTTCACTGGCATCTTGGCTGTTTCTTGACATGCCCTACAGCGGCGCACTGAGTCCTTGATGTCTCTGTTGATGCCCTTGTTCTTCGTGCACTTTCCTAGGTTGCTGTTAAAAACTTCTCCATGCTTCTTCTTCAAATCGGCGACCACTTCGACTCGAATTTTCTCTTCGCTAGTCACCTTTCTGCAATGGAAGTTGCCCTTCAGCTTTTTGTATGCCGGCAGCTGGATGCACCATTCCAGTCCTAGTAGATTCGAGCCTTCAGTGACGTAGCATGTGCCATTTCCATGAAGCATCTTCCCTGTAACTCGATCTCTGACGGAAAAGTCGGTTGAAAATTTACCATATATCTTCATCGACGTCCCGCCTGCAGTTTTCACGGGCATCACACAGGGTTCCAGAGCCGGAGATCCCATCCTCTTCCAAGCTCTGCGTGATATCAGCGTTATATCTGCACCTGTGTCCAGCTGAAGTTTGAGATTACATCCTCTAACTACGACGTCGAGGTAGGTCCGCGCGCTCTCGGTGTCGAAGGCGACCACATGTTTGCACTGTCTTCTGCGGCCAAACTGCGCTCCTGTCTTCCGCCGCTTCTTCCGACCAATGTTGTCGGCTTGTGGACAGTCTCTTCTGAAATGTGGTCCTCCGCACGTGAAACAAGTTACCTCCTTTTTCTTCCACACTGCATGGATGTCGCGCGTGCCTTCCATGTCCGTGTTATCCATTTTCATAGCAGTGAAATTCTCACATTCCGCGACTAGGTCCTCGATTGTCAACGGTGCTTCGTCCCTGTGAGCGTCCAGTCGACGAATCATCCGAAGGCGAACTTCCCTAAGTGAGGGATCCTGAAGACCTGCTACAAATTGCAGCGTCTTCATTGCCGTGTAATCGACCTCCTTGAGCCGGGCATCCTCGTCCATCCGCTTGATAGTGTTGGCGTACTCACGAAACGGTACGTACGCTGGCGTGAGCGGGGGGCAGGTTATAGGCAGTCATACCGCCTTCTGATGAGAGTCTTCTTGGAGGCAAAAAGCTTTTGAAGATTCGCGACGGTAGTATCGAAGTCCAAGTCGCTTGGTTGCGCAGGCAAGACCTCATCAGCATACTTCCGGTATGCTTCTTCATCCAGCTTCATTAGGATTAAGTCGCGCTTCTTCTGATCCGAAAGCTGGGAGTCGCGTATAACCGGTCCGTACCTGCCATACCAGTACGCAAAGGTGTTACCTGTCTCTTCGTCTGAGACAAACCTTTGCACGTCCTTGCTCAGCTGATCGTACTGATCCTTGCTGGCATCTTGGACGGCTCCCTGATTACTGGCTAGAGCGGAGATCAGCGTCCTCATTTGCTCTTGCTGAGCTTGCAGCTGCATCTGCACTTGTTCTTGCTGTGCTTGTATCTGGATCCGAACTTCTTCTTGTTGAAGCCGCATCTGCTCCATCATGACGTTGAGGACCTTCTCCAGATCCGCATGCCGTTCTTCTGCGACCTTCGGCATGGCTCCGCGGCTATAACGAGATTTCTTCCCTCTCGTCGATCGATTCCTTAAATAGAACTTATCTGGAGAAGTTGTCCTTGAAGCTGATTGCAGGCTTCTTCTTCTCCTGTCGGCGATGGAGCTTCTTCTCGTCCTCAGTTGGTGGTGGAGTTCTTCTTGTCCTTGATCCTGATCGCCAGTTGTTGTGGAACGCGTTGAGTCGTTGACGATTTATTAGAAAAACACATAGATTCCCCTTATACACATAGGCGTATATGCCGCGGGTTCACTAGGACCAATGCAATAACAACACGTAAACATAATCAAGGTGCGGCGGGTACGCCGCAGCCGCCTAGGTCACCTCAGCCTTAGCTATCAATAATGAGCGAGTTCTAACACTGAACAGCTCTACAACAAGTCTTTCGAAATGCTTTGGGTGCATTTTGTAAAGCTGGCTTTAACTTAGATACAGTATGGAGCGAAGTCGTTCCCTCTTTATTACTGCATGAGCTATATGGAGGGTTTTCTAACGGATCAAATTTTACCCCTGAGACAAACTAAAAAAGCTGAAAACTCCTACACTGGGATAGTCAGAGTCGCTGATTTCAAAAAACTCGCACTTCACAGTAACAAATTTCTCTATGTTGTACCAGATATACCGAACAACCGATTTCTGATACTCGTTAATAACTTTGTTACACCTTTTGTAGAGCTCTGCAAAAGCGCAAAAGGGTATATAGCAGAATAACCACACATGAAAACATTGTCACACAATTTTGCAATTTTTTTGATTTTTTTCTTTCACTCATTCTTTTCTTTTTCTTTTACTTCTACCACTACGACCACGACTTCCATCGCTATGACTACTACTCCTCCCACCTCGACTACCACTTCTACCACTACCACTACAACTTCTCCTACCACAAGTACAACTGGTCCCACCACGACTTTGGCCATGTAACCATCGTGATACCACATCTACTACTCCTGACACGACTACATACTACACCTAACACTACTACTAGCATGACCAGTACTACTACTACAAGCACATCATCTACATCAACTTCTACATCTGCTCCAACCCGTCTAATACTACATTTGTCTCAGATAGAGAATGTAAGTATAGTTTTTTGGCTCAATAGTATTCTTTAATATGTCCATTTTGAGCATATTATCGATTGTATCGTTTTTTAGAAGCAGCGACAACTATTGTGTTGAAGGAACCTGAAGATGCGTCTGATAAGAGGAGTGCGATGATTGACTTGCTGTGCAGTATGTTCTTGAAATTGACAAAACCCCACTTAATGATAGTCAGTTTTTGCCAACACCATAACCCTATTCTGTGAACCCTATGAATAATTCTGTATTTGCAGATCTCTGAGGTAACAGCGAGGAATACAAGTCAAGTCATCTTCATCCCACTTCCTCATCCACTTCATCATCGACATCGTCGTCAGCATCGACATCCACATCCACCTTGACTTCATACTCCACGGCTTTGACGACATTGCGACACCAGCAGCTGATCGTGAACAAATTTCCTAGAGATGTTATTTAATTTCTTGCGAAAAGCAGGTTAGATATTTTTTTAACTGTTATGGGGAAGAGTCGTAAATCCGAAAATCATTCAAACTTTGATTTTTTAGGACTATGCAGTCGACTCAGAGGCTCCAAGAAAACATCAACATCAACAAGCACCACATCGCCAAGTACGATATCAACAACTCCTACACCAGCTTATGCGCCTCATTCAGGTAAGACCAAAACATCGACATTTTTAAGAAAAAAATTAGAAATTCCAAAACTTGATTTTTAGGTTCATGCTGCTGCCCCACAGTGAAGACCAAAATCTTACCACCACTGAAGCTCCAAAATCTTCTTGTTGTGATTGCCAAAGTTGTGGAGATGTTGTGTAATTTCTTGAAAAAAGCAGGTAAATTTTAATTTTTTGTTAAATGATATGATGGAGTATCATTGTAAATTCAAAAAGCACTTGTGCTTTGGTTTTTAGGACCATGCAGTCGCCTCCGAGGCTCCACAAAAACATCAACATTAACATGCATCACATCAACAACTCTCACGCCAGTTTATTCACTTTAGTCAGATCAGAACAAACTTGAAAAAAAATTCAAAAAATGTAAATTCTCATTTCAGATTCGTGCTGTTGCCCACATTGTAAAGATCAAGATCTTATCACCACTGAAGCTCCAAAATCTTCTTGCTGTGAATGCGAAATGCAAGCTCAAGTTGAGCCGGAGACTACACAGATACCAATGCCAGGTACAGAATTAATCAAAATCAATTGGATCTTGTCAGAAAATGAAAATTCTAGCCGCTTGCTCTTGCCCACCAATTGAAAAGCAAACAACAACTGAAGCTCCAACGATTCGTAAGAAATGTTCAGCGGTTGAAATCTTATTTTAAAAATAAAAAAATCTTTCCAGAATATTCACCATGCGATTGCGGAATGAGCATTGAGTCTACACCAATACCGACTGAGGCACCACAAGCAAGTAAATCATTGCTCTAGTCCCCCCCCCCCTTGAACAAATGATGATTTTTAGCTACTTGCTCTGCAGGCAAGGAGAGGGCCACTGAAGCTCCAAAATTCCCATGCTGCGGTTAAATGAGCGCTCAAACTGCACCAGAAATTATTGAAACTTCTCCAGAACCAATCCAGGCTGCTTCCGTACAAGGTATGGAATTTAATCTTCCCTTTCCCTACACCGTTCGTAGAGTTCGCTAAAATACAAATTATAGGTCCCCCATGTTGCTGTAAACAGGCTCAAGACACTCCAATCACCGAAACCCCCATCACAAGTAAGCAAAAGAAGAAGATCTGGGGTTACCACAAACAAAAAAATGTTTCTAGAATCTTCAGGCCAGATGGAAAAGATTGCTGCGCCCGCAGTTGCACCAGCGCTAATTCACCTGCACCAAAACCACTCCAGACTGCACCAAAGCGAATTCCAGCAAGAAAGCCTGTCCCATATGTGCCTCGACCAGTTCAAGCTGCGGCTAGAAAAGCTCGAATTGCACCAATGTATCAACCAATCCATCAGGCACCTGCTCCTTCAGCGCAGGCACATTATAAGAAACCAGTGCGTCACCTCTGCTTCGCAGAGGTTCGCACTGGCTCTACTATCCGTGCCTTCTTCGTGATCGCATAACAAAGACTTTGAAACTCACCGCGCGGTGCTGAACATCACGAATGAATTGTAAACAACCATTCATTTTTAGAGCTTTTCCGTGTAAGATTGGTAATTTTGGGAGAAAGAATTTTCCCGCAGAAAAACAAATGCGATTTTGAATGGGTTACTGAATTTATTTTGGCTTTGTATTCGCCATAAGGATAAAGACCACCTTGGGCTACATATCTATTCAAAGATCCTCTCAATTTTTATAGTAAAAACTTGGCGAATCGACAATTTGCTCAGTTACATCTTTTTGGCGCCAATTTTGGTAAAAATAGACTTTTTGCTTACTTTTTGAGCTGAATTCAATGTTTTTCGGATTTACTTGCTGAACAAATCCACGACTTTGCAAAAAGTCCAATTATCGACCCATTTTGGCAGGCCAAAAGTCGCGTGGATCCGTTTGACGCACAGTTTTCGATGGTTCCACTTACTGGATCGGCTTGTAGTTTTGTACAGTTTACCTACGCGCTGACTGGGTGCTATGACCAAAATTCTAGATCAAGACGCTGGCTGCAACTTACTCTGTGAATTTCGTGACAGACAGATATACACACACAGACAAATATACAGACGCTTAGCGCTTTATTATAAGTCATGATTATTTGCGGGGATAAAGATGAGATAATTTTTTTAGTGCTCAGCTGGCTGGAAACAATATACATCTTCGTGCTATTATGCTGAGCAAGAGAAGTTATCAAACGGCTGAGAGGAGATGCATAGAAAAGGGTGCAACTATGTTTGGTGCTGATAATATCATGGGATATGTGAGTATAGCCAAGAGAACCGTATCCTTACCGTATATATACTGTGCTCTAATGTATGGACTCTCGAATTCTTTACAGGAAAAAGTGATGCACATGACTCTTCTACTGGTCGGAATCGAGAACACGACAATATGCCCATACATTTCGCTAACGGAGTTCTCGATAACTCTTCCATGTAAGTATCTGCAATAACGTTCAGTAACAAGCTTATGCAGTTATCCAGTCGAAGTGAAAAGCGCCATTGTCGAAATTTTTATGGAGCTTATAAAACCACCACCAATGCGTCACTTCTATTTCGCAAATGCTCGCACTGGCTTTATTATTTATGTGCCTCACTCAATCTCGCGAGTCGTGCCACTGGAACTCACTGCGCTATGCCGACTACCACGAATAAAATGTAAACAACTACTCATTTAGAAAGCTTTTCACGTGAGATCGGTGATTTCGCGTGGATGAAACTTTTCGCAGGAAAACAAACGCAAATTTGAATAGGTTTTGCATTTGTCATGACGTAGTAGTCGCCCTAAAGGCAATCCCCCACAATGGTCGGTCGCTTCATCGTGGCGTGGGGGTGACACTGGGTGTCGAACTGCGATGCACAGCCGAGTGTATACTCTGGTAGGGCCTCCCAAGCTGTGAAGGAGTTCGACGTTTCCGGTTTCGGCCGGATGCCTAGCTAAGAACTGGCCACGCCAGATCCTCCGCCGTCTGGCTTCTTCTGGTCGCTAGGGGTCCCTCCCCGCTCCAAGCCCGGGGTCAGCGATCGCCCCGTGGAAATCAAGAGTAGGCCTAGTAAGCCACCTCTTGTAGGGGAAAATTCATATTACTCCTCCAGTTAAAAGATTAGAAAGAAACCCTGCACATCGTATCCCGCCTACGGCGCCGGGTGGTAGCAAGAACGATGTCAGGGTACTCAGGGCGCCTTTCGGATTGGACAAAAACGACACGTCTGCCCGGACGACACGCCATGGAGACTCTTTCATGCTCTGCACCTACAACGCCAGGACAGTCTCCACAAACGCCGACATCCACGCTCTTCTCGACGCTGCAGAGCACATCAACTACCACATCATCGCTCTGCAGGAAACGAAGTCCAGGAAGAAGGACCCTAGTGATGGGACCCTCATCATTCGCAGTGAAAAGGTTTCATCACGAAACGTGGGAGGCGTCGGCTTTGTCGTCCATCCATCTATCGTCCATCTTGTCGATTCGCACGAGATCCTATCACCTCGACTAGGCATCCTACAACTACGCCCTCCACGTCAGAAGACCATCAGTATCATCAACTGCTACTCGCCAACATCAGCAGCTGACGACTCAGAACTAGATGCTTTCTACGAAGACGTGGAGGAGGTCGTCCGCAACGAAAAGTCCTTCTACAAGTATGTTGTGGGCGACTTCAATGCGAAAATCGGGATGCCACTAGAAAAGGAATATGGGAACGGGAAGTTTGGATATGGGCTCCGAAACGAAAACGGCAACCGTCTCGTTGGGCTCCTCTCCGCCGCACGACTCTTCCATGGAAACTCCATCTTCATGAAGAAAGAATATCGCCGGTGGACTTGGGAATCGCCCAACGGAACGACTCATGCTGAGATCGACCACGTTCTCACCAACCAAAGGTGGAGCTTACTCGATATTTCTGTAGTTCCATCCTTCTGGTGACTCCGATCACCGCCTCCTTCGAGCGAAGATACGACTCAGCCAAAGGCTGGAAAAGAAAGTCTGTCATAGTGCCGCGAGAAGGAAGGAAGTCGTTTATGACGGTAACAGGCTGGAAGAGCTCATATCAAGTTGTGACTGGCCCATCGAGGAGGACCCAACGTACGACTACGACCGGCTTCTGAAAGGATTGCGAGCCTGCGGAGAATGTGCCTCAGTGACTTCTGAGAAGAACTTGGACCGCATCTCGAAAACCACCAAGGAATTGCTCGAAAGAAGAAGATCATTGAGGCAGGATCCGAATGCAACTTATCTCGAGCGACTGATAGCCAACACCAGTTGCAGAACAGCTTTGCAAGAGGATCTCAGGAAGTACAGGCAAGCTAAAATACTGGAAGCAGCCGAAGGAAGACGAAGTCTCAAGAAGTGCCGAAGGGACCTCTGTGAATATCACGTACCGCTGGCTGCACTACTGTTCGAAGGCGGGACTCCGACTTCTTCCCGATACAAGACGGAATCTATCGCGAAGAACTTCTACACCAACCTCTTTCGCTCATCAACACCCGTGCAGATGCCCGTTGTTCCCACTGGAAAAGTACCACCACGAATTCTACCTGCTGAAGTGCGTATCGCGATACAGACCATGAAGACGCCCACGGCTCCAGGACCAGATCTTTCCGTCGAACTTCTGCGAGCCGGAGGACACCGTCTACACGAGATTCTAGCGTCGCATTTGACGTCTTACCTTCAGAAGGAGAATATTCCCGTCCAGTGGAGAACGTCAAGAACCGTCCTTCTCTTCAAGAAGGGTGAACGGGAGGATCTTCGGAACTATCGTCCAATATGCTTGCTGAGTATGCTGTACAAGCTTTTCACGAAGATTATCCTCGCTCGCATATCAAGGACACTGGATGAAGCCCAACCCCAAGAACAAGCTCGATTTCGCAAAGGATTCAGCTGCATGGACCACATCCAGACCGTTTCGAGGGTCATAGAAGTCTGCCGGGAGTACCGACTGCCTCTCGTCCTAACCTTTGTCGACTACGAGAAAGCCTTTGACAGCGTCGAAACCAACGCGCCATCCTGTCTGCGCTAGTCGATCAAGGAGTGGACCCAGCTTACGTGAGGATGTTAGCCGACTGCTACAAGGACTGTACAACGACGATGCAGCTATTGCATCGTCCCTGACCATACCAATCAGGAAGGAGGTCCGACAAGGCGACACAATCTCGCCGAAGCTGTTCACCGCGGCCTTGCAGTGGGTGATGAAGTCACTGGACTGGGACGAAAGAGGCATACGAGTTGATGGGAGATTCCTGTCCAACCTCGTTTTGCGGACGACACCGTTCTCTTCTCGAGCAGTATCACCGAAGCAGAGACGATGCTGAAGGAACTAAACGAAGTAGTGAAGAAGATCGGACTGCGAATAAATTGGAAGAAGACTCAGTTCATGAAGAACGCCCTTTGCGAAGATGCAGAAATGGAATTGGAAGGCACCCCGATTATGGAGACGTCTTCCTGTATCTCGGACATTCGATGAACATGGAGAACGACTTGAGAGAAGAACTTAACAGGAGAAGAAGAGCAGCCTAGGCCGCCTTCGGGCCTCTGAAGGAAGCCACCGACCAACTGACGGACCCGGAGCTTCGTGCCCACCTGTTCGACTCAACCGTTCTCCCGGCGCTCTGTTACGCAGCTGAGACTTGGGCCGACACTGTAGCCACGTCGAAAGCTTTACGGACCACCCACAGAGCGCTCGAGCGCAGTCTTCTGAAGATGACCCGACGCAAGCAACATCTAGTCGGACTTCGCAGCACGGATATGAGAAGAATGTCCTGTCTTCGTGGCCCAGCGGAATACGTCGCGAAAGCCAAACACCGATGGGCCGGTCACATAATGAGAAGAAC